CCACTATTCGTTGGTAAAAGAGTAGCCAAGAGTTGGCGGTGGGTGGTGATGACTAGCTGCCTTCCCTCTAGTTTTACACTGCTAAATTAGGGACGGCTAGCGCAGATAGCCCTCGTGTAGCTTTGCGCGAAATTCATAACAAACAATTAACTAAGGTTTCCAGGAAATAATCTCTACCCTGGAGAGACTCTGGAAGTGAAATTTTATTTGGGATTTCTTACCATTTCCGTCTGTGTCAGCGGTGCAGCTTCAAAGACAATAGCATTGGGAGCGGTAGCAACGGGTAGTATAAATGCATACGAACAACACATGGCAACTGGCATCATGATCTTGATCGGGTGAATTCCCACAGCTTCTGCCTTGAGTTTTATGAAGAAGATTGTATAAATATTACTTATTACTTATGTTACTTAACATTAAAATACTGATATATTTGTCTTGCACTGCAACATTAACTATTGAACATTTAGAAGAAATAATAGTTAGTTTCGTACAGAGTTAGTTTCGTATTATTTGTACATTATGCAAATACTCCACTTTATATGTGTGAACAAACTATATTGTAATATTTTTCACTTGTAGAAATATTACTTACAGTTCTATAAAACAAATTCATGGTGACAATTTGACACTAATGATGTCAGGAAAACACGTAGGTTCAAAAAGTATTGATATAAAAATGATAAAAACGCTATAACCCGAGCGCTTCCGAAAGGTGGAACTTTTTTTCTTCAGGGGCAAACATTCCCAGTTATTATAGGGTTTTTATCATTTTGTAAGTTGACACTAATTATACTGTAAATGAGACCAAACAGAAACTCAGCTGGATACGTAAATACAATAATAAACATAAATGTTACACAGAATCTGTCGCCCAATTTTTGAGTTTAATCTCTGAAAAGTATAAATACTTTAAGACAATATCACACATCTAAACTATAGTATCATCTGACGTTGCATTTGTTGTATGTGACGTTACATTTAGCGGCTATGTTACGCCATGGTAATGTATGTTTGAAGGGGTTTAAGTGGTGGTTAGTATTGTATGCAAACTCAGATAAATCACAGTGATACTGGAATTACGTTTTCTGCCACTGATGAAGAGCTAGCAAGAAATCTAGTCTAGAACATTTTTTTTCAATACACCAATTTAAATATTCTATTTTTTATTATTATTTGCAGAGTAAATTTTTTTTATATTATATTTTCAAAATGCCCAGATCCCTCCGATATGTATTACAAATTAAAAACAAGACAAAACATTCTGATTAATATTTGATAATAAGATATTGATCTCACCAGGTTACTCAAAACAGGCATCATGATGGTGGCAGTGGCCGTGTTGCTAGCGACCTCTGTTAAAGTTAAGGCAATCAAACAAACAATCAGAACAACGACTTCTGCCGACAAGGCTTGAAGTACAGCGAGTTGATCACCAAGCCAAAATGATAGTCCAGATCTCTGAAACAAATCAGTAAATAGTTGAACAGCGTGTTATTATTCTAACTTGACATAGTTTGTGTGACAACGAGCTATTGCTAGTTTGTCGCTATATTTTTATTTTTATTATACACTCAAGTTTACATGGAGTGGTATGTACTACTTTTAACTTAGGTTTCTCTTTTGATTAGAAAAGATTACTCACCGTTGTTCCTTCCGCTAATGCGAATCCTCCTCCAAGAAGAAGGATTACTCCCCAAGACACGTTCTGTTGAGCTATTTTCCACTCCAGCAGAGGAGGACTAGTCTCGGGTTCCATAGGCCTAGCCGGTATTACGAAAAGTAGGAGAACGATAGCAATAGCAGGGATGGCATCTTTGAGAAATGTCCTAAAAGGGAGCACCACATAAATATACGTTTTATTCAGTTTCAAATAAGTAAAAATTAGTAATCTGGTGCATTTATAACCATTTAATACACAAACAGAACCATCCAGGATATAATAAAACAAGAACTTTGTCTAGGAACAAGGTTTTGAGATCGTTTAGATTTATATTAAACTTATTCAGATTCGGAATTTTCATCCTGAACAGAACCTTATGCAAATGTAAGTTAAACGGCCAGGTCAGTGAACCCTTAGAGTTCAGGTAAAGCCGCTCCTAATTTAAAGTATTGACCCGAGAGCAGACAAGCAACCAGTAGCATACACCACTACAAAGGAATTGCTATTCTCTTTGAAATTAATAACACAATTGCCTGTACTTTGTATTAGGTGTCTAAGTTGAATGTGCAAAGCCGATACGCAGCCCCATACGGAAACTAGTAGGTCATGCCCGGCTCTAAGCTATCCTAACACATTAATCTATTCAACATGAATGCCATAGTCCACGTTTGACTGAGACTTAAGCCTTTAAAAACAATGACAACGACATTAATATATCTAGAAGTGTAAAAATATTAAGTCAGATCTTCGAGACAAAAACTGTGAGAAAAATCTTTATTCAAAGTTCTAAGACGTACGAGGTGCATAATTTTTACGTTTATTTTAAAAAGTATTTATATGAAAATAAAAACTCTGAATCGAGGTGATGAGATGGCCAAGTCCCCTTTGCTTTCTTTTGGCTAAAAATATGGGGTTCGATCCCTTCAGGGGACACAGGGCATATACCTCACTGTGCAGCTTTGGGTTTAAACAAAACAGAACATTCGTCAAAGTCTCACTTTACTATCACATACAACAACAATTGCGTTGTTAACAGCGCGTTGGTAACAATGCTAAATATTCATTGTAAAAAATAAAAAAAAACACAACAAAAATTGCGATCTCGTTAGAGCTCATATTATAGTTGGTGTTCACAAATTTTCCTACGATTTATATGACTTATACGGTTACGTGTAGTAATTTCAGTTGATGAAGTTCCCATTTATTAAATAATTCTATTTGATGATAGAGATTTTAAAATCCACAATCCATTTTTTATGAGACAATTCGACTTGTGTGAAGTTGTTATTTGGAACAAGGTGGAGCAGTGCCACCTAGCGGATATAGCCTTAAAGTATCCATCTGTTTTCAATGCCTAATCGTTGGACAAGAAAATGTCCGTATATTAAAGATAAATAAACTTGTGCAAACTCGTGAATTAAAGCACAAAAAAGGCACTTAGAAACACAACAGCCTAAAACATAGCAAATTCTGTTCATACGACATTGATTTCGGTCACTCGCGAATTTGTGGAAGTAAATTTATAATTTTATTTGTCATCTCTACTTTTTCCCTTTTTTTTTATTGGATTAAAATTTATTGTGTTATATGTGCGTAAGCTCAATATTGCTTTAGCTGAAGAACTAAGCAACTGAAATATTATTTCAAGAAAAAAAAAGAGATTAATCACCTTTGCAAAAAGCTACACCCGTTCTTATTTTTGAACTGATAGAATAAAGGGAGGGCAGCTAGTCAACAACAACCATTGTTACATCTCTGTTACTTTTATTTAACTGAATAGTGGGATTTCAACGGCACCTTCAGCAGTAAAGTTTATAGCGAATTTTTTTGTTTGCAACGAGTCGCCAACAGGGGGCTTTTCAGAGAGAGAGAGAGAGAGAAAGAAAGAAACAGGTATCGTACTAGAATGAACCTAATAATGACGATCAACCACAGCTAAATCATTTTTCCTACACCAGTTGAAATGAAGAATGAAAATGAAAAAATGTGTAATAATTTCACCAGTGAATAGTTTCGTAACATGTTTTTCAAAGAAAACCCCAAACACAAAAAGTAATCAAACACTTGACTCGCCATCTGGTGTACTGTAACTGAATTAAAAATGGGTATTCCTCTGATCTATCTGTTGTCCGTGGTAAAGAATTCATTATTTGCTCATTTTAGAATTTGCGCAAAACTAAACAGGGCTATCTGCGCATAACCTAATTTTTACTTGATATATTAGAAGGAAGGCAACTAACACTCACCGTCAACTCTTGGGGTACTTTTGTCCGTCCAAATATTGTGATTTGACTGTCACTCCAAAGGGCGATTAAATGTATTTAACTGATAATACGATACCTGCACATGTAGGCAGAGTTAAATCAAGTGTGAAGTGGTTCATGATCTTCTTGTGTTTATTTGAATAATAGCCCAGCATGGCCAGGTGGTTAGGGGGCGCTTGAGTCTCATTCTGAGGGTCGCGGGTTCGAATCCCCGTCCCACCAAAACATGCTCGCCCTTTCAGCCATGGTGGCGTTGTAATGTGACGGTCAATCTAACTATTCGTTGGTAAAAGAGTAACCAAAGAGTTGGCGGTGGGTAGTGATGACTAGCTGCCCTCTCTCTAGTCTTTCACTGCTAAATTAAGGACCGCTTGCGCAGATAGCCCTCGTGTAGCTTTGCGCGAAATTCCGTACACACCAAACTATTTGAATAACATGAATATGCATTAAAGCACACGTCAAGATTATAATTATGTTTACATGAATTTGTTATAAAACACTAATTGACAGAAAAAAATACTTTTTTTTATAACTTACTTGTTCTCTTCACCGCTAAGTGCTACGCCCCAACCTGGCATAAAACCTGGGTCACGGCAGAACCAGAGGATGAGCAGTATGATAAAAAGGACCAGAACAGCAGCTTCGTGGAAACTATAATGAACAAACATCAAATAATAAGGACATTGTCATAAGATTATGATACAGAATAAATGCAAGCTCACAAGACCAGCACGATAATGAAGAAAACAATGCTCTTGGTTGTTGTCTGTCTGTTTTATTTTACACTCCTTTTACAACAAATACAAAATATTTATACATCAAATGTTTGATTAGAAATACATCAACTTACGTGATCGATCCCAGATCTTTGTAGTTTTTTTCTATGATTGTCTTCACTGAATCATTGCTGTTTTTCTTGTCTTTTCCACTAATAAACAAAGCGTCAGGATTTATTTTTTTAGTTTGTTTTGCTCTCAGGTACAGACCACCGCGTTGTATTTGTCAAATACTTTAGATAAAAATATCAAAGCAAAATAAAAGCGTTATCGCGATTGGAATGAGTTCTATACAAAATGGTGTACGAATCCTATGCAATATACTTGGATTTTTATTGCGCATATGGTGTACATCATCTCTGAGCTCACTTCGGCAACACAGAACGGTGCCTTTAAGAATTTTGGAATAATGCAACACGTAAAATCCTACTGGTCAATGTGGTTTGGATTCACAAATAAATTCCAGGATATTTTTCTTTAGTGGAATAAAATCATTTGTGATATTTTAAAATCTCTAAAATTATTCGGATATATCTTTCCGATAACATCGCCATGGAAACGAAAGGTGATATTGGTTCAATAACTCAAATAGGCCGACACCTTCAATTCTGAGTAATTCGAATAAACAACACAATTATAAAAAACACAGTTTTTTAGAACTGCTTTCGTCTCTAAGCGCTGTCTTCATTATGATGGTATAGTCTTATGATTTTTTTTTATCGTTTTATGATGGCTGGATTTCTCCCTCTGTTGGAAACTATGTGAACTATATTAAACAAATTCTTGGTAGTTTGCTGGACAATACTATTTGATATATCTACCTAACTGAAGTTATATTTTTTGACGATAAAGCACGATTTTGAGACACATCGGCAGATTCTATTTTTACACAAGAAACAGAAATATTAAAAAACTATTTCTTTAACAATGAAAGTTTCTAGATTCTGAAATGCTCTCTTCACGAAAGAAAAACGTACGTCAATAAGCTTAATATTTCCTTCTTGTTTATGTATTTATAGGGCATGCGTCAACCTTAAATTGCTTATTAGGGGTCGCTCATAAATTTCAAGAATTTAGAAAATGTTCGCTTTTATCTGAATTCAACTCCCTGTTTCTGAAAGGCCCTTTGATGGATCAGTGGTAAGCCCAAGGAATTAAAACGCTAAAAAATTGGGTTTCGATAGTCTCGGTAGCCAGAGCACAAATAGTTTATTGTGTAGCTTTGCGCTTAACAACAAACAGACAAACAAGTCTCCTCCGAAAGCATATACATAGAATGGCAAGGTTTTTTAACGATATATTATTAGACATTATTCCTTTTAAACAGAGTACTGGAAAATTTGCCAAAGTTTTTTTTTTACAAATTATTTATTGATAGCAAATGATGCCCTTTCGACATTTTTAAAAAGCATACATGAGCTTCTACTCCGTCCCCCCAGCACACATATTGTACGCACATGAGCTTCTACTCCGTCCCCCCAGCACACATATTGTACGCTCATTAAAATAACGAAAATTGCGAACGACCCGTAAATACAGCTCTAACACTTGTATATATTATATTTTTAGTATAAACACAAATACGTATGAAACATACCACTGACGCATGAACAGAATCTGCAGCCATGCCCACGCTAAGATAACACAAAGTATGGTACCAGGTATATTGAACAACATCCAGGAGGCAAATGTTAGTTTAGAGTAGTCCTTGAAGTCACTGTGAAAAGGCAAAATTTGATTGGTTAGATATTCTAGAAAAAAAAAGAAGTCAGAGACATATTCTTAGCTTTATATTTTAAAGCTGGAATAACTTTTTAAAATATCATGTCTTCTTGAATGTTTTTTTTTAAATGCTAGATCTCAGAGATTCCGCGATAAGTCTGCAGACCTACGATGCTAAAAAAAAATACAAGGTTTGGATGGCCTTGGTGGGTTGACCACAGATAGCCCATGGTGAAACTTTGTGAATAACAACAGCAACAAGAACAACAACAAATGTTTATGGTATAAAGACATATTAGGTTAAGTTAGTTTCTGTAAACAGTTATTTCTTGTTTCATTTTTAGGACAGTTAAATTTTCAATATCAGGTCGAAACTACCAAGATATATTGATATAAAAATGATTCTAATAATAATAAAAAAAAAGAAAACCGAAAAGATAAAAGGAATATAATATTTAATTCGTGTCGTATTTAAAGTTTCAACATGCAAAATGAAAAATAAAGTAACTTACTCATCAATTTGGCCTTTTAGAATGAGGTTTGGGGTCGTTCCTGTCAAGGTGCCGGTCCCGCCGATATTGGCAGAGTAACAAACACCCATAAAAAGTGCTTTTCGCAAGTTTTTTTCTTCTTTACTCCTGGATTCATGTGAATTAAAACAAGTGATTTATTAAAAATATAATCTACACAACTTACAACTGAACTAAACATAGCTCTAAACTCACTGACGAAACACCTGGAATACACAGATCAAAGAACAGACTATTGTTTAAATCTGGAGACTAGGGAAGTCTTAGATTGCTGGTTCTCCAGTTCGTCTATTATTGAGCGGGTTAATGCAGGAAAATAATAACTAATAACACATGATGTTGAAATAAATAATTAGTATCATGATGGTGTTAAAATATATAAATAGTATCACGATGGTGTTAAAATAAATAAATAGTATCATGATGGTGTTGAAATATATAAATAGTATCACGATACTATTTATTTATTTTAACACCATCATGATGGTGTTCAAAATAAAT